TTGTTTAAAGTCCCCTCTCCAGATGTTGCGTCTGGTTACCGCACTACGATCGTGCACAGAGAAGAGTGAATACTCTCACTGTAGCACTACGTGATCACTTTTTCCAAGAGGTGGTAAACAATTTACGATGTCCACGCTATCAGGCGCTTTGGTAAGTACTAGGTCTAAGCAATTGGCTTGGTGCCCTTCGTGCAGTCTGGTCGGATATAGGACGTGTTGCGTTAGGAAAGATTGCTGTACTGTGCGCAGGAGTCGTCGATCGAAATTTACTTCTGAGCCGGGCGCAGAACTCTCGTTCCAGTCGATATGGGGAGCGTTAAAGTCTCCCATGATCATGACCTCGGATTTCCTAGCAAATTCTTTGACTCCTTCTATCAGAATAGTGTCTGACTATTGGTCGCTCGACGGTGGACGGTAGACCGCCATGATGTCAAGGGCTTGTGACACCGGCGTTCTAACGGTGAGCCGGTAGGGGTAGTTGGATTGTCTTGACTGCCAGATCCTGTGGAATAGAAGTAAAAAGGGACATGATATCAAAGGAAACCGTGATATCGTTTGGATTGAGGCTTAGCCCTTTAAGTTTCTCCAAGAATTGTGTTGGCCATCTGACAGTTGTGTCTGAATCAGCGGTCAAGAATTTGAGCCGTCGGAACAGCCACTTTGCCAATCCGTAGTTTGTAGTTCTTTTGAAAGATACGATTGGCCGGAGGGGTGGGCCCTCTTTGTATACCTTCGGGAGACCATAGAAGCGAGCCAGGGCCGTTTCCTGCGCCTTCTCCATGCGTCTGTCAATTGGCGGTATTGCACCAGAGTTCTCCAGTGCCAGCAGCGTTACGTTTATCTCGCGTGTCAGCGTTTCTATTGCGTTGGATTTCCATGGGACGTAGGACTGACGATCGTCTAACGAAATTTGAGCTTTGTGAATGTAGTCTGTCCTGTCCAATATGACATTGGACAGCCCCTTGTCCACCGGCACGATAACGAGGTCACTGTTGGCTCTGAGTTCTTCAAGTGCCTTATGCTCGACCTTGGGGAGGGCGTCGCGTGGTCGATGTGCCATGAAGAGGGACGACACATGGTTACGTATGAGGTTTTTCGCTTCGTCGGTCGCTTCTGTTTGTCTGAGGATTGATTCTACCGCAGCAACCATGTTGGCAGGTCTGGAATCAGCTGTGTTGAATGAGGCTTCATGCCTTAAAACCTGCACTTGTTTTTCCGTCAGCTTCTTGGATGACAGATTATGCACCAATTTGTCATCTTTGGATTAATTCGGAAAAGGTAGCTTGTGAAACCTAATTTCCAATGCTGCCTCTGGTTTCGCTTTGTGGCCGCAGGCTCGTTCGGCCACCCTCTGCTGAAGCAGTTGTTTGCTATTCTCGCCCATGAACCCAAAGCACTCTGCCTTCTCTTCATCAATCCTCTGACGGTACTTGCGAAGCCTCGCGTGACAGTCGTGAAGTATCACTCGGATCATATCTCTGCCGCGCTTAAATTATTTGGGTATCGCCAACACTGTATAAACCGCATGTCTGTAAGAAACACAATTCGGTAACCAATAATTGTCGAGACAACTGCGCAGGAATCGGATCTGCGCATAAACAGATGACTCTCAAAGGACAAATGTTGCCCATAGTCGAGCCGACCGGAGCGAATCGCGCCCACAGATATTGCCAATAGAGGAGAATATGCGAGTTCCAGGCAACATTTTGCAAGATGAAGATACGATCACTGGAACAAGGGCCTTATTTTCCTGACGTTTCAGATTCCCTCGC